GTGCTCAGAAAAAACGATCTCATCAGGATGTTTCGATTCGGGAGAATTGCATTTGGCGGCGCCGTGCCTGGGATTAAGCGTCGCCCGACTCAATTCCGAGAGAACTGGGTCATCGATCCCCCGGTGTAATTTTAAATTAACGCGCCCTGGTCAACCCGCTCCTCCTCCCCCGCGCGCTCCGTCCTCTCATAATTTGATAAATTAGCCGAAGAAACGACTTTAAAAGTGCACGTTCCGACACGACGCCTCCCCCCTCCCCCCCACCTCGTCTCTCATTTTCTTTCGTTATCCGTCCGTTCCGGGCGTTATTTCGAAATTCTTCACACGCGACGATCTATCAGCTTAAATCGGCTCTCGTCTGATTCGCAGAGCATACAATGAATCGCATCACGGCATCACCGCTCTGCGTAATCCTCGCGCCGGCAATTTATATTAATTAGCCTGTTCGCACGCGGGCCCATTCGCGCTCAACATAAATTACCGCCGCTAATGATGAATGTCAGGTATAAACGTAATATTATGCAACCGTGCGGCTGTGTACGAGTGTGCCGCGTCCGACCAGGGTTTTACCTTCTCCACCGCGCCGCCAGGTAGATCCGGGTCGTTAGAGGTGCACACCAGCCAGCCATACGTGACAGCGCATACGTGTACTTCGCATACATCCGTCGCGGAATCAACGTAACGTCCCTGCACGGTGATTACAATCCGTCGACGAGCGCGGCAACACGGCTACGAGCTCGACATTACCTCCGACCGCGGCGTGATTACGAGTCATTGATCAAAAATTAGCGTGCCGCGCGATGATGATTGCCGTTTTAATAAGTGCTTGTATTCGAGCTCATCTATTTCATTCGCTTATTACACGACGTTGCCGTCGCCGTACAAGCGATGCGCAGCGAGAATTTAAATGTGACGGATTTGAAAAACCGAACGACTCGCACACCGGGATGATTCGTTAATATTTTTTTCGATGGATCTTTCCGTTATTATCTCGTGGAAGTTTGGCGTCACCCGAGATTCCGCGTGTCACTTTACTCGCGCGATCAAATTTTCAACTTTCGGCTGCATTGTGTTTAAGTAATTTAAACTGGATTCGCTCCGTCGAGCAATTAGCGCCATCGCGACGTGCCGACTTGGCGAAAATGAGGCAGCTACACGATAAACTCGCTCGAGCGCGGCTCCCGGGGTATCGCGAATATATTTTGACAGCTAAACTGGCTTTATTTAGCGCGCCCCGTTTGCTGACAGACAAGCGCCGTAAACGCCTCCGCGCACATCTAAGAATCGAATAAGCCAGTCCGGGCACGATCGGCGTAACGAGTTAGCCAACTCTTGTTTTTAGCACTTGCTGCTTTTATCCAGCCAGCTGGGGAATCCTGCAGCCTCCGCACTTCCGTAGTCCGCTCAGCCCCAGTCCCTCACCTCCTCCTCTCCGTGTAGGCGTCCGGGCTCGTACACGACCCGCATACCAGCCGTCGTCTCCGCGAGGCACCCTCGCGTCCCGCTGGCGCGTCGGCCAAAGGAATCCCCCGGAAGCCTCCTCCTCAAAAGTAGAAACGCTGGGCGGGAAAGGTTGGTTGCAATCAAGCGCGGGCGCGCGGACTTTGAGGGTGCTCCGCTCCGTTTTCTCACGGTCTGCATTATCTTTCCCAGACTCCCGTTGCGGCTCTATCTCCCCCCCCCCCCGTCCCCGTCCCGCCCTGCGAACCGGCGAAATTGGGGGCTGACGGTAACGACGGAGGCGGTGGAACGTCCCTGTTTCCTTCTCTCTCTCCTTTTTCCGCGTCTCTCTTTCCGCGCTCGCCTCTTCTCATTCCTTCGGCGAAATCACCATCGATCGTCGTCGTGAAAAAGGAATTAAGTCCGCTGCGGGGAGATTCGCCTTTGCGATCGTCGCTAGTTAAATTTGACGAGGACGCGGTCTTCGAAAGAACTCGCTCGAGCGAATAGTCAAGCGGTGTAATTCGGCTCGATGTTGGCTCGTTCGGGCGGTTTCTCCCTTTAACGGGAAATAAATGGGGATGCGTGAAAAGGCGGGATTGCGATACGATCGTGCCGACGTCGCGCGAGATACCCGAATTATGTGTAATACATTCCGATAATATCTCAGTAGCGCGGAATGCGCCGGCAGTATGCGGTCTATAGATCCAAATAACCGCGACGACCTAACCCAATCCGATGTGCGTTTGTTACAAGAAGCGACGGCACTTGGAATACCATTAGTTCCTTGTAACAATGGAGAAAGCGGTGCGCGGCGTTGCATTTGCCGCGTCACATCGAATGACTGGCTCCTCCGGTTTCGCGCGACGGCGGCGCTTGAAATCCGAGTTTGCCTTACGTCTTGCCGATGTCTTAAAGCTCTCATTAGTGTAGCTCGGCGCCTTCGACGAGCCGAACGACGGGCCGGGGGAAAATTAGCGATGTCAATATTTGCCGTGCAATCAACCCGCTTCAGCTTCCCGCCCGCCCCTCTGCCGACTCGCCGTCCGTCCCGGTTCCGACACCGGCGCTGATTGTCATCCGCACTTCCATGATCAGACGGCACGCCCGTGTTGTTGCTGTTGTCTTTTCTCATTCCGCCGGCTCGCTCGCCTGATCTGTACACAGCTATCGTCGATAACGGCGAGCGTCGACGCTCAGCTATCCGTTTCCGCCGCGATGAGTTTGCGGAATAAGTTTCCTCGCGTTTTGTCTCTCCGTAGATATTTATCTAGTTTCCTTCCGCATGAGATGATTTCGTATTTTCATCGTTCTCCATTTATCGAGTAACGCATTACTTTCGGGCCGCATAGATCTCCCTTCGCTTACAGGCAGCGTTGTCGACGCGCTACAACGATGTGTGACAAAGCGCCCGACGTGGTAAAACTCGCGTGCAGACCATTCGTACTTCTTACATTTGACAAGTCTCCGGCAATTTGTCGGCGTTAAGAATGATCGAGCGTCTGAAAGCGGATCGCAATGGCCGGGATGGCCAGCGGCGGTGAATCGCGACGGCGAAGCGGTCGCGGCGGGGAGAGACGGCGAAGAGAAATGTCGAAATTAAAGTTTTCGCAAGTTATTCGAACGCTACCTGCGGCGCGTTCGGTATGAATCGAGTGTCATTTGTTGAACTTAAACGAGTGGGCGGCGCTGAGATATAAAGGAGGAGGACGGAAAAGGAGAATCATAATGCAAACTCTTTCCCAGAAGGAACGAACGGGATGTCGAACGGGCGAAAAGACCCACATTGGCGGAGGAACGCGCGTCAGCATCGCAAATTGAAAGTTCGCATTCAGGGACTCACTATTTTCTCGTCCCCGCTCGTAAAAAAAATCTTTGTTCGAGGCTGAGTAATCCTCGAGTAAAAATCCAAGATGCTGTCACCGTTCACCGTTTCGCTCCGAAAATGAATAGCATTATTGCTCAAGGAATTGATCGATATATTATTGCAATCTTACCTGTAATTCGACAAGATTTGTTTTTATCGCGCCATAATTTCTCTTCGATGCTACAACTCGTGGAATTTGCGCTTAATTGCGCACCCGTGCAATAATTACCGCTATTATGTCACGATCTCTCTCGGCGTTGCTCTTTCTCGGCGAGGATAGCGGCCGAAAATAATGGTCCAGATTCCACGATCAGGTAAATAAGATAAGGTCCCGTAACTGTCGCGCGATCTTTGCTCCGAAGTAGCACCATTCGCCTCGACGGTATTTTCCCTCGGCCTCTCGTTTTCCTCTTTGCTTTACCTTCCTCCGTTTTCAGCCCCACCTTCGCCTCCCGTCTGTCTCTCTCCCTTTCACCTTCTCCGCCGCTATCCACTCTCGCCCTCTCCCTCTCGCTTTTACCCTCACCTAGTGGCGTGACACATGGCCAGCATTTATAGCGCGAGATAGCGCCGGCGGTTCTCGACAGCGCCGGCAGATTTATCCTCCACGGTTATTGGAGTTATACAAAGGATTTTTCCAACTGATCCCATAAAGTATCTGTGCCTGATGCCCTATTATTTACGCAGCCGGCAGCGGCTGATGTCGCGCTCTAGCTTTTCGCACCTCCTAGTTTTTGCGCCGGAATGCGGGCGTCGTCATGAGCTTGTCGCAGATGCTATTTTACGCTTCGTCGTGTTCGATTTACCGCGACGCGGCATCTCGCCCGATATCGCTTTTTTATTGAGAGAATTATTATCGTTGAGAGACATTGGCAATGCGAGTACGTGAGATCGTTCTTTTTTCCGCAAGCGTTAAACTCGAATGGATCGATATTTGACCTGATTTTTGGTATCTAAAACGACATCAATAGCAGCGAAAATATTATCTACGAATTTTTTTAAGCGCTCGTTAAAAAAAATTGCACGGCGACCATTCTTTCTTATCACGCGTATTTTGAAACGCAAATACTTGCACCGTCTACGAACTACACACGTTTCACTGCAGGCCCATCGTTGTAACGTTTATCCCCACGTTCGCTCGCTCGCTCGTTCGTTCGTTCGTTCATCCATTTGTTTTCTAGCGACGAGTTCGTACTGCGTTGTTCGGCATTAATGGATGGCCCCTGTTTCCGTACGTTTTATCGCCGACTGGAGCTCATAGGTATCGTCCGAATGGTAACCGCCGGGGCCAAAACTGGCTGAAGCATTGATCCAGTTCTGTAGAATCCAGGTGAATAGTACGGTTCCACTCGCTATCTACGGTGATCCTGTCTTTGAATTCTTTCGGATTAAAAACGACTCATAGATCCCGAAAAGATTAACGAGAGCGGCGGAAAAAAGGGAAACAATAAATTTGCGGAACGCGCATAGACTAAAACATATATATGTTATTATATGTGGAAAATATTATATTGAAAATTAAAAAATTGAAATCGTTCCCTTACAATCGTTAATTATTACAAATTCTGCACAAATTCTGTGTTATGAATCTTGAGATGTTTCGTCGGCGCTTTTAATACATCTTATTTTCATGTACTTTTTTAATTATTAGACGACAGATATGTAAGAACGGGGAAATATTTTTTGCTTACAGGACTCCGAAGGTGACACGCCGCTTCACGACGCGATCTCTAAGAAACGGGATGACATGTTGGCTCTGTTGTTGGACCACGCCGCAGACATCACGCTCACCAACAACAATGGCTTCAACGCTCTGCACCACGCTGCTCTTCGTGGCAACCCAAGGTGAGTGCCTCGCATTTTCCGATGTGACGCTTTTGTCCGCGGCGTTGAATGTGCCGCGTCCTTCTAGAATTTAATCAGGTAGCGAGAGCTGCAATGAGCCGCTGGAAAAAGAGGGAAAGAGAGCTACACCTATATAAATAGCTCGCGCCGGATAACAATTACGCGCGTCTCGTTTCTTGTAACTAATGGATCACTATATTCAAGCCGTATTTTGAGAACTCGCGCAGTCGTGAGAAATATCGCGTTAATCGCGAGCGTGCATTCGCATTACTATTCGCGTAATTCATATCTCACGTGCGCGCGCAATTTCGACCGAAACTTTCATCACTGTGACAGAGATATCGAATTTTTTTTTTTTTTTTATTCGCGACACTATCGTTTAAGCTAAACGTCGATCGTGAACAACAGGTTTTCTGGCACGGTGATTTTTCCGCAAGAAGTTAGGAGCGGGAAGATTCTCCGACGGCATGTCCAATCGTCTCGTTCTTCCTTTCCGCTTTCTTTTGTTCTCTTGTTCGACGAATCATAAAAGAACGTCGAACCACAGATGTTCCCGAAGCCATCATTGTCGTCGACGTTCCCGTCTCGGACAAAGTCTAATCGACCCGGTCATTCTCGAGAGGTAGCGAGTCAATTTTACCTCGATTCTCACCTCCCGTCCTCTCCCGTTCAATTTAGCCACGCGGACTCTCGGAGCTTTTCGAGATTTGCCCACTTCTAGTTATTACTTCGAGGCAAAGACGGAGTAACGAGAATGGGACGAGCGGATATTCCGATGAGAGGAAGATATCTAGTTTGAAACTACATTGCTTCGACTGAAATAACATTATTTCGTAACGGCGCTTCAGTTTGCTTATCTGTCTGAAACGCCATTTTTTGCAAAGAAAACGGCTAAAATTATATATTTTAATAGTAAACGAATAGTCTGCGATTTGTCAGAAAAACGCAATTTTATTTTCTAACGATTTTTTTTTTTATTCTTCTGTTCTTTTTTACGCAGTTTTTAATAGATTTCGACGCGCGGGTATATCGCCTTACACCTTTTCTCACTTTTCTCTTCTCATTCTTTTTTTTTTGTTTGTTCTCCATTTCGCGCTTGCTTCCGTATCTAGGAAATGGAGGCACCGGATGCATATAGTAGTTCTACAATCACGATTACGAGGCACCTACTTCCAAGCTCTCAGTCGGGTCGTGTGAGTCGGCGATTCGCAGTCGTTTTCGCTCCGCGACGATGTTATCGCTGAAATAACAGGAAAATTTTCATCGCCCGACGATAAACGAAAGGTATTGAGATTCGCAAGTCGCTTGTCTCGACTTTCTTAACCCTTAAGCGCGTTAGCAGTTTCATGAAATGGAGTTAAAGTGAATGTAACTTTGCAGCGCGGTGGAGAAAGATTTTGAAACTGTTCGATCTTGAGAAAACTAATCAGCGAACAAGAATTGTGCGAATATCGAAAGAGAGAGAAGTTGGCCAGATCTTTCGTGGATGTTAAATGACATTACAATCTTTGTTGATGAAAGCGCAAAATCGTGCAATGTAATCTCATTTGACGATATATTTTCATCTATAGAGAAATCCTTTTAGAGCCGATTGTGCGATAAATTCTCATTTAGCCATATTGTCGTGTCTTAATTGATAACGCGGGATATCGCGAAACAAATTTTTCTGATAAATTACTCCACATTTTACGCTTCCGTCACTGCAACTTCCGTGTATACATAAAACAACGGGTCGGCGTGTGCGAACGTGTGTTTCCGTCTACATTGCTATCGGTGGGAAAAATAACGAGGCAGCACTGATCAAATGGGGTCACGCGGAGATTCCCGATTAGGCAGCTGACCGATAGAGTCGTATCGATCGAATATAGCAACAGTTCAGCTCACCGTCAGAATCGGCGCGACGCGATGTGAGGAATCGGAATCCGATTCCCGGTATAATTATCCTCAGTTCGCGAACAACTAATAAAAAGAGTGATTGTTAAGAAACGTCAATCTTGCCGCCAGCGTTCCCTCGCCGCTGCGGCTCGGGTAATTATAGTTGATGATCTAACGTAGGAAAGACGCTCGAGGGTGACTCGAAACTAATTCAGACCGGGATAGTTTGCGGTAAGTGAATACTCGAAACCGATGAGGTTTACTTTGCCTGTCATTATATAGACCGAGGAGCGAACGTTTCGTGGCGCTTCAAGTAGGCACTGCAATCATAGAAACGTATTAACGTCGGGATAGGTAAAGCGTAAGCGCTCTGAGCGTGCCGTACAATCAGGGATCGTTTGCTCTTCGCGGAGAGGCAGCGATTTCTGCCCCGGCAAAGCGAGATAAGCTTTACAAGCGGCCGCGCGCTCGATACAAACGCGATACGGGTCAGCGAGGTAAGGATAGCGTTTCGTACGTACGTACGTGATTGCCCGGCCCGAATGCGAGTTTAAAGCGTCAGCGAGTGTACGTATACGTGTTCGTTACACCGGTTGCATTCCCAAAGTACACTTAGATAAAGACCAAATGCCGGGGTGTATTCACTGCAGCGCCGAGCCAGCTCTCTCTCTCTCTCCCTCTCTCTTTCTCCTCCTTCGCGCCTCCTCTGCATTCTTCTTTCGCAGTCTCGTT